TGGGTAATCCTTCGACATGTGCCCCAGTTGTTGACAATAAAAACATACGTGTTGTCCCATGGGGCATGAGGTGGAAACATGATCTATCTTCCCACAGAAATAGCATCTTATGACGACTTGATTACTAGGAGCTTCTGCTTATTGATGCCCAAACTATTTGCCTTTTCCTTTCTTTGAGGGTCCAGAATTTGATCCCCCATACGCAAATGGTGTAGCATTAAAAGGTCGCTTTCGATCCTTTGCTTGTTGTAATTCATTATCCAATTTCTCTATCACCAAAGCTCGATTTAACACTTTAGCATATATTGGTAAAATCAGTACTACAACGGACTTTCTAATTAATGATCGAAGTCCCCTCTCAAAATGACGAGCTATTTGACTTTCATTAAAAGCAATATGTGGAGAGAACTGAATCAAGAAAGAACTGCTCATAAAATGCATCTTTAAACCGCTCTCAAGTGCCTGCCTTCCCTTCCAAAATGAAAGAAGCGAAAAGCACTTTATGATTTTCCCTACATTCGATAGTTTCGAATGTCTTTTCCACTTGACAGGACCGCTAATCTATGGAATTGACTCCATTACTCCTATAATAGGTTGAAGATTTGATACAAAATGTAATGATCCAGGCCTAATGGGCTAACTGGCCTATCAACTTCATTTGGTTTAAACCACTAACTAAAATGCTTAAGCTGAAGTTAATAATAGTACACTCATCAAACCCTTATAAGTCAATCTTAATCTTACCCACTTTCGATATGGGACTAATCAGAGGTGTTACAAAGATAATGGCTTTGTTAGTGGATCTGTGATGTTATCTTCAGATGAAACTCTTTCTACTACTACATCTCCTCGGGTCATGATCTCTTTGATTAGGTGGAACCTCCTCATAACGTGCTTAGACTTCTGATGTGACATGGGTTCTTTCGCTTGAGCAATCGCTCCGTTGTTATCGTAATATAAGGGAATCAACTCATCGCTATCCTACATGACTCCCAAATCTGTGATGAACTTCTTCATCCAGACTCCATCATTTGCTACCTCTGTTACAACAATGTACTCTGCCATTATGGTTGAGTCAGTAGAAGTATCTTACTTGGAACTCTTCCAACATACTGCTCCTCCATTCATGGGGTATAGATACCCCGAATTCGACTTGCTATCATCAAAATCGGACTGAAAACTCAAGTTTGTGTAGCCTTTAACTCTAAGGCTACTACCTCCATATACTAGTAAACGATCCTTAGTGCTTCTTAAGTACTTAAGGATACACTTTACTGCTTTCCAGTGCTCCAAGCCTAGATCTGCCTGATACCTACTCGTGACACTCAAAGCATACGCTATATCAAGCCTGGTATATAGCATAACATACATGATAGACCCTATCGCTGAGGCATAGGGTATCCTATCTATGTTCGCCCTTTCTTCAAGAGTCTTTGGGGATATACTCTTAGAAAGTGATATTTCATATCACATCGGTATGAGACATCTCTTAGGCTCCAAGTTTAAATCAACTTGAAGCATAAAATACCCCTCTCATCCCTGGTTAATATACACAAGCATATAGAATTTAAAAGTGAGAAAACGCTGTTGCAATCACTAGAGAAATCCCCTCCTATAGTCTAAGTTTATAATTCTATTTAGAAGGAGTGTGTGCTTATAAGGGTTGTCTCTAAACCCGATAAAAGGAGAATAGGGGTGTAAGAAGGTGTTTGATATTTGCCTATTAAAGGAAGATTGATAATGGATGTCGGTGGCTTCGGCGGAAGAGGAATCGACGGAGTGGATGTAAGTCACGACGACTGAACCACTATAAAATTGGCGTGTTCTCTGGTTTGCGTTTACTTCTTTCAATTTACATTAACTGCAAACTGCCTTCAATACGCTCTTGCTTCGCTTTCAAAGTTAAACATTTCCAAGTTTGGTTTTATCGTACGAATTTTTTTTTTCAAAACTGACATTTTTATCCGTTACACTAATTCACTCTCCCTCTTAGTGCCGACTCGTTCCTAACACTAAGATAGTTGACCCCCTGGGAATTTCTCATGTTGCACTTCTTTTTGTGCTTGAGCGATGAAAGTATTCGTCGTAGACCTCCGAGGCAACGATTTTCAGAACCAGAAATTTAGAATGGTTTTAACGTGACGGGGTCCGGCCGGCGACGTGCGCGACCCATACAAGGGGCTTCACCCATCCCATCACCGACCGCGATGCGCACATAGGCGACGCACGACGCAAGTTGCACGGGTGCGATTATACCATCACTAAAGCACCAGATCCCATAAGAACTCCGAAGTTAAGCATGCTTGGGTGAGAGTAGCACTAGGATGGGTAACCCTCTAGGAAGTCCTTGTGTTGCACGGGTGCGATTATACCATCATTAAAGCATCGGATCCCGTAAGAACTCCGAAGTTAAGCATGCTTGGGTGAGAGTAGCACTAGGATGGGTGGCCCCCTAGGAAGTCCTTGTGTTGCGCTTCCTTTTTGCGCCCGAGTGATGAAAACCTCTGAGGCGATGGTTTTCGGGCCTAGAATTCTCCGTGATCACTTTGTAGTCAACCACATAGGGCTCGGAGAGAGGTTTTCGGATTGAGGTCGCAATAGCAATTCCGAAATCGTTCAAGAAAGTTACGATGGTTTTAGCGCAATAGGGTCGGGCCGGCGACGCGTGCGACCCACGCAAGGGGCTCCACCCATCCCATCGCCAGTTGCGATGCGCGCATAGGTGACGGACAATGCACGCAGTATGGGTGCGATCATACTAGCACTAGATCCCATTAGAACTCAGAAGTTAAGCGTGCTTGGGCGAGAGTAGTACTAGGATGTGTGACGCCCTGAGAAGTCCTCGTGTTGCATTCCTTTCTGCGTCTGAGTGACAAAAACCTCTGCCATAGACCTCCGAGGTGATGGTTTGTGGTCCCGAAATTCTCTGTGATCGCTTCGTAGTCAACCACGTGGGGCTTAGAGAGAGGTTTTCGGTTTGGAGTCGCAATAGCAATTACGGGATCATTCGAGAAAGTTACGATAGTTTTAGTGCAATAGGGTCGGGCCAGCGACACGGGCAACCCACTCAAGGGGCTTCGCCCTTCCCATTGTCGGCCGTGACATGCACATAGGCGACGGACGACACACATTGCATGGGTACACTCATACTAGCACTAAAGTATTAGATCCTATCAGAACTCTAAAGTTAAGTGTTCTTGGGTAAGAGTAGTACTATGATGAGTGACCACTTGGGAAGTCCTCGTGTTGCACTCTTTTTTGCGCCCGAGCAACGAAAACCTCCATCGTAAACCTTCGAGGTGATGGTTTTCAAGTCCGAAATTCTCCGTGATCGCTTCGTAGTCAGCCATGTGGGGCTCGGAGAGAGGTTTTCGGATTAGATTCGCGATAACGATTCCGAGATCGTTCAAGAAAGTTACGATTGTTTTAGCACGATGAGATCGGGCTCGTCAGGCGACATGCACGACCCATGCAAGGGGCTTCGCCCATCCCATCGCTGGCCATGACGTACACTTAGGGGACCGACGACACACGCAGCATGGGTCAAATGAGCCATTGATATATCTCTGTATGCAAGGTCAAAGAAATTGATTGTGGGATGGATGGTCGGATGAGCCATTGACCTTATCTTCCACATGAACTCCCATTTCTTTCTTCTTGCTTGCGGCCACTAGTCAGGATGTTTTGGTGTCGGACTATTGGACTCAGCAAAGAGCTCTTCTTCAATGGCTGAGTGTTCACTAATTGGCAAGCTAATTCACTGACCGAAAAACCTTCATTTCAAATTACTCTATGAATCATACAGTCAAAGTCTAATCCTCATTTCTAATTATTGTTGCTATTATAACGTCTGAGACTAGCCTATTAAGTTCTTAATGGAGATTGGATCAAGTCAGATATATATATATATATATATATATATATATATATATATATATATAGTTCTTAATATACATATACATATGTATATATTATATATAGCCAACATAATGTTAAAAGAGAGATGTCATCCTTTCTGAGATCACATCCATTTATTATTTGGTAGTGATATATAATAGCTTAGCCTTCACACCTTCTTTAAGAGACTAATCCAACAAGTCTACTGTTCTTGAAAGCCCAACCACTACTATATTTAATCCACTGTCTCACAAGAGGACATGGTCCTAAAACTTGATTGGTCCACAGAGAAAACCCCATCCTATTAAAGATGATGAACCACACATATATATTTGAGAAATCATTTTCTGTGGTTCCAGAATTGCAGTTCTATTAAATGAATAAGAAAATTAGGATCCCATGTAACAGCCTCTTTTTGATGCAAATTTGAGTGGAGTGGAGGAAACAACTCTATCACACAATTTAACTACAAGTGATGACTGCCAAATTGATCTTCCTGCCTTTTTTTTTTTGAATAATAATTTGAATTGTTAATCTAAGATAAATTAGTCATATATATCACCACTAATTGGATGTCAAATCTTTCAATATGAATTTTGAACCCTCAACCTAAGAAAGTACATCACCAAATTAACTAGCTAAGTAAATTTTTTTATATGAGAATTTGAGTTAATTCTATTTCCTCATGTTTTCGAAAGGAGTTAAAAGAATTTGAGATAAATACGACTCAATTTATTACCACTATTATAAGTCCATGAATCTCCTTAAATTAAAAATTATTTATCATAATTTATCCCCTTTTTTTTGTGGCTTTTTTCATGTAATGGGCGACTATTTATTCTTAGAATATTCCACCTCGAGAAGGAATCTTCTGGACGGTTGAGCTAACGCGTGTCAGGTTCTTTTACACTTTCCACCCTTGGTTTTCTATATTTAAATTAATGTGATTATTCATAACGTTTGACGTACTTACTATATGCAAACATATGCATTTACACCCCTCGTCGTTTTTAGTTTGTTTTCGAGGTCCAATATCTTCGGGCGACTTCTTGACGCTTACGCGGTGGATTGAATCGCAAGTTTCCTCAAGACCCCAATTTGGGCACCATAAAAATTAGGGCTTTCTTTCTTCGTTACTCCACCGCGCACCGCTTGTCAAGCGAAATCGATCCCGTACTCTGTCTGCCTCACGTTTTCTTGCCCCCCTCTTCTTCGTCGGTTCCTTCCCCTCCCCCACAGGATCCCTCACCTACCAATCTCCCCTCCCCTCCCCTCCCCTCGCCTCCGCTCCCCTCTCCGGGCAGCTCCAATCGTCACATGGCTCTTCCCTTATGCGATCGAGTTGATCCCATCGTTTCCAGCTGCTTCCTCGCGATTCTCTCCTCCCAGCCGTCTATAGCCCTCGAATCCCGCTGTTGTTTTGGTGTTCTCGTCGCTTCGATTCGGAACCGTCGCTAACAGGCCCCGATTCTGACGTTTTAGAGCTTTCGCCATGGGGAAGAGTAAGCGTTTCTGTCGATTCTCGGTGTTGTATGTTGATCTGCGAAAAGATTGAATCTCTGATTTAGATCGGGAAGTTTGTTCGAATAGGAATTGTTTGAATCGAGTATTGGTTATACGAGGATTTACAAATTTGGTTTTGATGGAGATCTTGATCTTGCAGGTCACCGGCGCAAGGCAGGTGGCGATCAGTTTGACAGCAGTGATGCCGACAGCGTGAGTTCCGTTTCGACCGGCTTGTCGGAGCTAACGCTAGGTAATGAGACCGAATACGTGAACTCTCAGGAGTTCGAGCTGGAGAAGTATATTGATGCTCTCTACGAAAAGCGGTACCTTTATATCCTCTCTTTCATTAAGTCTTCCATGGTCAACAACTTTCTTGATTTCCTTCCTTTTTTCAGTTATCCTTCTTTCTTCTTTTACCTTTTCTTTCTTACCGCCGTTGGAATATCATTTCCTTGGTGCAAATTTATATTGATGACGGTAACCTTGACTACGTTCTTTTAATATAGATTACTTTTGTAATTTGTATAGTTACTACGTTTGCTATCAGCACATCAAAGGAGAGAAAGTTTTCTTGATAGTTCACGGTTCAGTTTAGGCTAATGTTTCCTATACCACCCGCCATCCATTCTTGATATGGTGGCCTATGCATTTGGAGTTCATTGACAAAACATATAATTAATACTTGGTTATGGTTTCAAGCAAACTCTTAGAATAGATCTCTGAGAGAATATTTATAGGTGACTGTCTTTTTAAAAAGTGGTTACTGGTATGCAAATGAAAAACGAAATATTCTATTTGATCTGATTTAGATATTAGAGAAGTTATGGTGAATGATTAATTTTGATCCAAAAATAAGGTGAGTCCTGAACAATGATGGTAATGAAATGCATTTTAATGGTTTAAGAACATTGGCATTTACTCTTTTGTGCTGCTTTGTTTGCACAAACCAAAAAATAGCTTTATGTCATATCAAGAATAATTGTGTGGAAAGTGGCTAGTCGTGTTTGGTATATTTATTGTATTCAATATTGCTGACTATGTAGAAATTTACAAAGAACCTTCTGCTGCTTATAAAAATCTGGACATGTTCTACTGATAGTCTATTGATCTCTCAAAATTCTTAGGTCAAAAGTGGAAGTGTCTGATTCCTTGAATTAGGTTGAAACTACTTTGCCTTGGTTTTTGCTGTGTGAAGTTTCTGAAGAGAGGAACCTCTACAAATTCTTTTTCTTGCTTGGACCTGGAACATTTATATGCTTCTAGAATGAAGTTGCATTTTTGAATTTATTTTATTCACATATTCAAAGATGTATTTTAGTTGTCGTGTAGTATTTTATGTTTCTACTCGGTAGCACTTTCATTATGCTGATAGGCAGTTTTACTTTAATGCTGAGATTTTCTAAGTATAGTTAAACTGATATGGCTTCCCTGTTTCGTGACAAAGGGGATCAACAAGAGAGAAGGCTTTGTCTGGGCTTGTCGATGCTTTTGAAGGGCATGTTCTTCATATATTTGTTGAAAACAAGTGAGTTCTTTTTCTGAGGCTTTATTGTGATGCTAATTTAACTATAGTATAGCTGACAACTATAGTATATCAGGTTCCTAGTTACCTGATATTTACAAGTTTAAGTCCATGTCTCATCTATCTCCGTTATCACTCGAATACAGCAACAATAATAATGATAACAACAAAGCCTTAAAGTCCCAACTAATTTGGATCGGCTACATGAATCTTTTTCTGCCATTGGGTCCATTATTACTCGAATCTGCATAACAAATTCTATAGCTGGTGCGAACTTTATGGACTGAACTTATAATGCACTTGTGATGCTTTGATCTATAATAATGTCGACTTCATCTACTCAATATTTTAAATTGGTTATCTGAAGTGCATGTTGATACCATGAGTTGTCTAATACATCTTTATGGCTTTCTTACGGTTGTTGCAGATATATTACATTATTAAGTCAGTATATTAATTCAATCAAGAGGGGTTCTACAAAGGAGGCTTGTTTAGCTTCTCGTGCCATTGGTACTATTTAGTCCTTCACAAACTATGCATTTGACATTTGTCTAGCTTCTGGTTATGTAACTTGTGTTTTCGTTTGAAGGATTGCTTGCCATTACCATTGGTGCTGGAAATAATGCCCATGAGTTGATGGAGGAATCAGTATCACAGTTGTCTCAGGCACTTATAACTGGGTCTGATGCAGTCAAGAAATCATCTGTATGATCTAGTTTGAAGTTTTTAAATTGTAGCTGTCTCTCCGGTTCTTTTCTAATTAACATACTTCCTGTTTTCTGAATCTATCATCTTCTATTGTAGGTATTGGATTGCCTAGCTGTTGTAACTTTTATAGGTGCAAACGATTTGTCTGAAACTGAATTGTCACTGAAAACCATGTGGCAAGTGATATATCCAAAATCAGGTCCTAATGTATGTGAGCTTGTTGTTGATTAAGAAAATTATTTGAGTTGAACGCATTCTTTTACTAAATTCATATTATTATTCTACGAACCTGGTATGCTGTGTATAAAGATTCACAATATTTCTTTCTTCTATGTTCAGGTTGCGCCAGTCAAAAAACTTCCGCCTGCCGTACTGGCAGCGGCGGTATCTGCATGGTCATTTCTTTTCACAACCATCGGCAGTTGGAGAATCAACCCTGATAAGTGGAAGGAGTATGTGGAAGTGGAAACTGAACTCTAGTTTGTTGTTCTTACTTTTACTAGTTGGAGTTTAGAACATATTTTGTCGTCTGTCCAGGCCAATTATGTTCCTTTCCACTCTGCTAGAAGATAATGACCGTTCTGTTCGCATTGCTGCTGGGGAAGCAATAGCAATTTTCTTTGAGTTAGGGATATTGGACCAGAATGATCATGTTGAAATTGACGGAGTTGACCATGAAGATTCAAAACGTGGAGTGTTTGGATATATGCAATCCATGAAGGCGAAGATATTGTATAAAGCAAATGAACTCTCTGTTGAAGCTGGAGGTAAAGGAACTGACAAAAAAAATCTCAATGATCAGCGGGACTTATTTCAGAAAATCTTAGATTATGTTCAGGTACACTCTCTGCATTGATGCAATATGTCTTTAGTTCACTATATCAACGGATCTATTTTTTTGAAACTAGTATCTTCATTGCAGACCGGTGAATGTCCAGAAATATCATTGAAGATATTGAACAAGCATAGCTTCCTCAGGGCCTCAACATGGACCCAAATAATACAAGTACTTGCTTTTCCTCGTGTTGTGAGTTTTACTAGTACAAAGATGTAATTCCTGATACTTATTGTTTACTTGCTGGACAGCTGAACTTTTTGAAGCGTTTTCTTGGGAAAGGTTTTCTGAAGCATGCCCAGGTTACAAGTCTAGCCTGTTTAAACTCATAGCCTCCAAGATAGTTGATAACCGTTTTATTTGTAACTTATCTGTCTTTGATTTTTATTCAAACATTTTTTGTTAATGCAGGATAATGAATTGCTTCATGATATTTTTGATTTTGCACCAGATAAGTCAAGAAATCTATCAAGAATAGAAAAGGTGAGTTGCTGGCTCTCGTGAGCACTTATGATTCTCTTTCCAGTGAATTGTGTTTCCTATTATGTAAACCTGCATATTTTTTCTATTTTTATAAACAGTGTTGTTAAAATGTCTTAAGTTTGCCTTTCCTTTTTTTTTTATTTGGATGTCTATATAATTTTCAAAATCTTGCATTATGTAGTTGGAAAAATGAGAAGTTCCAGCATGATATTTTCTTGCTGAAGCAGCATGTCAAAAAATCTCTGACTTTGGTTCTGAAGTCAATAATACTATAATTGGAATGGGGATTTTGACACTGAAATTTTGATCACCTGTGTCATATCACATAACATGATTTTCACTTTGATTGACTTGCACCTGCAGTGAACTGTTATTTATGTCATTCTTTGTACATACATCACAAATATGAAAATGTTAAAAGTGATGAATCCAGAGTACTGCTGATTGTATGTGATATATATTTTTCGCTTTCTCATGTTTTGGATGGCAATACTCATGGACATAGGTTATATAATTTTGACAGCTCTATGCTATTTGCAAATTAATCAGTATGTGTGTAAGAATGTGTTCCATTAACTCGTCAGATTTTGCTTGTGCAGAAGATCTCTAGGTCAGAAGGTGAAAAAGGAAGGACCCAGAAGATGAACAAGGATCGTAAGTTGGCTCGGGTACGATTTGCTGTGATATTCAAGCCTTTCTTCTTTGCAGAAATTTGCAGAACTTATGATTCATCGGTTTGCCTCAAATTTTGTTAAAAGTTATGCTTCATTCTTGCAAATCGATGCTTATCCTTAACCGTGCAATATGTGCAGGAAAGGAAACAATGCCAGTTTCTCCCTCAAGAGGAGTAGCGAGGTCGCAATTTGAAGTCTCCTCACTCCTGCAGACTTATTTGATTTCTATCTTTTATCATTGTTTGAAAACTGAATGTAGTGAGTCGCTGCACCGGTATTGGTTGACAGACGTATACTCCATTCAAAGGAACTTGTTTTCTGTTAGTGCCATGTGATCTTTTACTCCGTCACATTTCGTCTTTCGTCACCAGAGTTATGTTTCTCAATCATTAATTGTAACTCGAGCAAGCCACTTAAAATGAGCTTTTGTGCATCTTCATGACGACTTATGTGGAAAGTTTGCTTCTTATGACTCGGATTTTAATATCGCAATACCTGTGCTTTCAGTTAATACAGTTTGTTGTTCTCTAATGAAATAGATCCTAATTTTTAGCAGTTCAGCAGGATGACGTGCGGTTGTGCTACTTTTTTTTTGTTGGTTGAATGACTGTTACTGTTCGTTGTTGATGTAAGATTCTGTCTCTGGCTTTAAGCGACTTTACACACGGACGGCAGCGCTATGAACTCGTGTGATGGCTCTAAGAAAGGCGGACCATAACACTTTAGAGATGAGCACGGCATTGACATCAACTAACGGCACTATATTATCCCTTGGTGGCGGAAAGAAAGGAATCAGAACATTCTTTACATGATGATAAGCATGCTATTGACCTCAAATATGCCCACAGAGTATTGGCCTGAAGCAGTGGCTTATGTCATCTGCATCCTAAACCGGTGCACCGGAGAATATGTTGGTAATAGATTCCATTTTGAGAGATTGTTCTTTAGAGTTGAAAGGTTCAATCTGTCCTTTCTCAAGGCTATTCTTTAGAGAAGGTTCTCTTTGGGCGAGATAACCAGACAAAATTAGATGGCAAAAAATCCTAATAAGAACCTTCCTTCTGTATCAGAGCCAGGTTTCGATCCTGGGACCTGTGGGTTATGGGCCCACCACGCTTCCGCTGCGCCACTCTGATTCTTGTAATAAGATTAGGTAACTAATTATATAATGAATTATCTGAGTCTATTTATAGTTTCGTTTCTCCAGGAAGTGGAGGAGAGCTCCGTGCTTGTGCTCCTCCATCGGCATGACGTCGTTGTCGCCAAAACAGACGATCGGAGGCTTACAGGTATGGCGTTCGAATTTAATTTTAATGTAATTATGCATCATCTTGTATATAGGCTGGAGCGGAGAATGCGGGCGCGGGTGCGGGTGAGTTTGATTTGTCCCACGGTGACGGTGGTGGTGGTGGTGGTGCTTCGGCTGAGGAGACGGACAGCCTCGCGTGGGTCGACGGCGAGGCACCGTCGGCGGCCGCGCTTGGGACTGACTTCACTAAACCCTTGTTCTCAAGGCCTTTAAATTAAAACCAAGAAATCTCATTTTAACTTTTACTCTACGATGTAAATAATAGCAGTGGCGATATTAATATTGCCACATGGCTGATTATTGAATGTACGACTCATGTCTTTTATTGGATATATCTACGACATAATTTTTATAGGATTTAGTGCATTCTGAATCGAATGGGTTTAATATTTTCTCCACATGATAAAGCATGGAAGAAAACATCTATTAACTCCGAATCAATGTTCTAATCTAACAATCAGAACTTGTATCAACACTATCCATCGGATTTTGTAAGATAGGGTGATTTCATGAAAATTCTACTGTTGATGCGGAGGTCTTAAATGACAAGAATCACCACCAAAAACATAAGATCCTAAGCCTTTCTCTGATCCTGAAAGCACAACTCTGACTCTTCTTGTGTAGAAGATCAACCCATAGCAATCATTCGATATTTTGGGATTTACATGAGGCTGCCCAATATTTATGGAAATACAATTAAAAGGTATATTATGTACAATTAAAAGGTATATTATGCAAATACAAAAAAAATATTTATATTCTGCACGTCAAAATTTTGAAACCGGACTCCGTTTCCTCTGTTCACTTCGCGCTTCCCAAGTACGCTTCTGGATGCTTCTCGATGCTTCCCAAAACGGGACTCCATTTCCTCTGTTTACTCCACCATGCTTCCCGGAGGACCAACGTAAAGCCCATCGGCGTACGATGGCAACAGACTTCGATCTCTTATCCCGAAAGTTTCCTTTCGCCACCACATACTCGTCCCGGAGAAGAACTACGAGGAGGAGATGGTCGGCTTCCCCCTTCTTCTTTCTTCGTCTCCTCGCCCTCGTACTCCTATTCGGAGGCCTCGGTAACGACGCTATTCTTCTCACGCTGTTGCATCGCCTCTTTCTTTATGTTTGTTCGAGAATTCGTTTGTTTGCGCTTCCCCTGCCTGTCTCTGAGCTTTTCCTTCACCGATGTTGCGGCTATAGACATCTCAATCTAGACGGTCGTCGTTCCAAACGCGACCATGGAAGGTGATCGGCGTGGTATTCCAAATATCGGAACCTCACCCTGTAGAGAGAGATAGGGAAGAGAGATTTATTGGCGGTGAAGGGGATTCCTCGATACGTCGTATCCGTACCCCTTTCTGCTTCTCGGCTTGGATGAGTCTTATCTCAATCGGAGGTTAGTCATGGTAAGGGTAGGAACCTCGGTTTGAGACGGAATCGACCTCGGAGTGTCTCCATCCAACAGTTCAATATTTGTCTGATAATATGTTACTAATTTGAGTTTTTTTTCTTCTTGTAGATCTTTTGCTGTAACTGAGTCATCTGATATGCAGTTCCTTTTTTACTGAAAAATGGCTAAATAATGTTCAATTGGATATTGAAAGATGACCAAATGATAGGTTTTTTTCTGAATCCTCATTTCTCAAAGTGACATAGACAACATCATTAGTCCTATTTCCTTTCGTTTGATTGATTCAGATGCTTCTGCAGGTGCTCTGGGGGATGGATCACTTTTAAACTGTGGAATCTGTCTTGATGGCTACATCTATTGAAACCATGTAAGCTTTGCATTTATGCTCAAGTTTGGAACCATATTTTTTATGGATTTACAACTGACATTCTTTTAATGTCTTATATAAGCTGGTAAATGAGAAATATTTGTCTCCGTAACGAGCTTGAAATTGATGGTTCACCTTCTAGTTGTCATTAGCCTAATTACTACTTATTGTCATCTTGTCCTTTAGGGTAATCCCAATCATTTGTATGTGTCTCATGCTCCAAAGATCCAAATACTCAATTAAGTGGACAACTCCATTCTAAGGCATTTTAGATTGGCTGCTAAGGTCAAATAGACAGTATGGGCATAAAAGGATCTAGTTGTTTGAACTAGGTGCAAACAATTAGCTTAGATAACACTTAAAACAATTAATGTACCAAATCCACTTACCAAGGGTTGAAGGTTCGAAGCCTCATCCGATATATTCTTGAAAGTGCTAACTAGTTTAGCTAGTACTTAAAATCCTAAGTTCAAGATTCACATTCGATAATGTCAATACTTCAAAGTCTCTGTACTCATCTAATTGTGTAAGGCTTGGCTTTTAGACTTCTAGAATTGATAGAATCTAATTTTACATGAAAAGATTGATCGAGCCGATTATTGATCGATCAATCTGAAATATGATTGGTTGTTGAGATCTGGAAACACTCCGTTTCATAGGAAATCTATTGTATTTGGTTATACTCAGTCCAATTGTTTGTTGGATTGCTTTTTATCAAGCTTGCAATGCTTGGTTGGCTTTTTATATTCAAGCTAATTTATTTGGCTTCAACCAATTACCATCGTATCATGTTGATTCCAACTTATTCTAGTGATTTCTAGCTTTGATTCAGCTAATCGAACAGTTCTGACTCAGTTACAACAGATCTCTGATTAGTTTCAATGAGTTCTAAAAGGATTTGACCAGTTTTGGTTGATTTAAACATCCCAAAAAGCAAATTTCAGATCCCTTCCTCGACCATGTTTAGATTCCTTCCTCAATCATGTGATCTCAAGGTTGTAGCCACATATTGATCTGCCCTTAATGTTTATGTCCAAATTGATGTTTCCTTTTTCTTGATGGAAAAATGATGGTGGTGGTTTTTGAAATATAGCTTCTTTGTGGTTCAAGTTCAGCTACAGCAACGCCTACCATAAGAACCATTGATTGTTGAAAGGATAATGAATGTAAAAGTGTTTGGTTCTTGAGAGAGACGGAAGGACATTAAGGAATGATACAAGTTATTTTTAATGGTTTATTAAGAATGATTGAATCTAAAATGTAATCTTGTTTTTGTTCTGGTGAGACTGAAGGACATTAAGGAATGGTTAAGTCACATTTAGTGGTTCGTTAAGAATGAGCGAATCTAAAAAATAATCTGTATTTGATGTCGAAAATAAAATATCAGAGCCAGGTTTCGATCCTGGGACCTGTGGGTTATGGGCCCACCACGCTTCCGCTGCGCCACTCTGATGAAGCTTGATGGTTAAAGAATGAATAAATCTAAATAAATTACTTCATTTAATGTTAAATGAACTATTAGAAGAAAATATCAGAGCCAGGTTTCGATCCTGGGACCTGTGGGTTATGGGCCCACCACGCTTCCGCTGCGCCACTCTGATGACGCTTGTTGGTTAAAGAATGAATAGATCTAAATAAATTCTTTCGTTTAATGTTGAATGATCTTAGGAGAAAATATCAGAGCCAGGTTTCGATCCTGGGACCTGTGGGTTATGGGCCCACCACGCTTCCGCTGCGCCACTCTGATTCTTTACGTAAATTTCTTCTGTTTATCTTATTTATTATAATAACCCCATGGCTTCATTCAAGTTGATATTGCCTCAACCCAACCAAAAAAATTCATCCGTTTGGTTGGCTATTGAGCTAAGTGCGGAAAATTTTGGACTTGTTTGAGTTAATTCAAAAAGGAACAATTTCTTGTATTTATTTTTTATATAATAAATAATTTAATTTTTTCATTGGTATAGGCAAAGAGTTATCGAACCATAATAAATCTTACGTTAACATCTTCATATATTTTGAACTTATTCAAATTTATTATCTTGAAAACAAGATAATTTTTTTAATTGTTCAATTTCATTATCTGTCTTTGAATTTTTCCTTGTGTGAATAATTTTTTATTATTGGTAATGCAGGAAAATGAACTGCTTGATGATATTCTCGATTTTGCAAGAGATGGGGTAAAAAGTCTCTCACGAACAGAAAAGGTGAGTTTCTATTTAATTTTCATAGTCACTTTGATTGTCTTTCAAGTGAATTATGTTTCATATTATGATGCTCAACCTACAAGGTATTGGTACAAGGTTATGCATGTTTTAGATTGAAAGTTTTTTAATTATGAGACCCGCCATATTTT